AAAAAAAAAAAAAAAAGAAAGAAGACTCGAAGATCCTCAATTTTCAGCCTGTTCACCACTTGCAAAAATTCCGGCAACTCTCACAAAGGGAGGTTCATGTGAAAGGAAAAGTATTTAGAGGTCCAAAGACATCAGAGTGGGGGATTCCACTTCCCTTCAGGGATATCGAAGAGACGTTCCAGAGGCCAAATCCATTCTCTGGACTTCCTGTCAGGGGAGCAGGGCATTGTGGGTAACCTCCTCCCAGAATAAGAAGCGAGGTCAGGGCCGAGGCCCCATGCCGCTTGCCGCCGTCTTGCTTCTGTGCTCGGTGCTGGGCCGGGCCGTAGAGATAGCCAGCGGGGGGCCGTTCCTTTCAGCTGCCTCTCTCCCGCCTCACCCATGACTCCCTTGGGCTTCTGCCGGCTCCAGGGGAGCCCATGGAGCATTATCCTGGAAGAAAGCCGTTAGGGCTGAATGAACAGCGTCCGCTTTCTGAAGGAGCCGCTCTGCTGCCCCGATGACTGCCTGGCTCCTGGCCCTGGGCCATTGTGGGAGGACAAAGCTGACACACACAACAATCCCACGACAATCTCCTCTCAGCCCTTTCTTCTTTATTATTGTTATTATTACCTTTCAAACACTCCAGCTCCTTGGGCTCGTTATCTCTGGTGAGGCCTTTGGCCAAAGTGTATGGGGGCCACCTCTCCCTCCTTCGCACCCCCTCACCCTCCTAGGCCCCGCTTCACTGCCGTCTCTTTGACAAAATACATAAAACCGATACTGATCGGTTAACATACATGACATCTTTAAACTTTAATCCATTTTCCCTCTCTCAACGCGGCGGGCCGGCCTCTGTAGAGGTGCCCATCCATTGTTCCCTGTCAAAGCCTTCTTGAGTGGGTTTCCCACTGAGTCACTTTTGTGTGAGTCAAATCAAGATTATAGGTAGCAGAGAAGAAAAAGCTGAGAAGAGAAGGTTAGCCCCTCATTTTAGACTTTAAGAAAAATCTGCCAGCAGGGGCCAGTCAGAGTGGGTAATGCACATGAAAGGCCAAGTCCAAGCTGGGTCGTCCGTGTCACAAGAGGAGTTTTTCAGGGAGAAGCACACAAAACACGCATTGTCGTGGTCGCACACAGAGACATAAATTTAGGAACATGTTCGCCCTTCGCCAGAACATAGTTAGCTCTGATAATGAGGAACAATGAGCCGGAATGAAACGCCCGGATTGAGTAGAGCGAGCGCTGACACTTGTTCACCCTCCCACAAAAGTGGCTTCTCTCACTCTCATCTCCCTCCCAGTGCCAAATGACCCCCGGCCGCTCACCGCTGTCCTCCCGCACCCTTGCCCGGTGGAATGGTGGAAGGTCAGGTGTCCGACAGGAGGACAGCTGGCCTCCGTGGCTTTGCTGGCCCTTCCAGATTGGACAAAAATCCATTTTGGCAACTCAAGTCCCTTTGGGGCAAGCTCCATAGAAGGTGCTCCGCTTACATAAGGGACAAGGCGCGTTGCTACCAATTCTTAACTCTGCGGATAGCAGTGGCAAGTTGAGATGGGGGTGCCTGGGCTCGGTCCTGGCTGGACTCCTTTCAGCTGTGGGATCCTGGTCAATGACCTCATTTCCAAGTGCCTCAATTTCCTCTCCTATCATGAGGTGGTATCGCGTCAGGGCCTGACAGCAGGATGAGACGTCTATAAATTGCGTAGCACGTTGTAAGTACCCAGGAAGCCCTGATTGTTAGCAGCAGCATGGGCAGAATGAGCCAATGCCCTGAGATAACGTAAAGCAGTTGAATTAGATCATGAAGATGTAAAGCTGTGGGTTTTATGATTCTTATTTCATCTTCCCATTTCATCTAGAGGTGGGTGAGATGATCCTCATCTCAGAGATAAGGAAACTGGGGCCTAGAAGGAGTGATGACATATCCAAGTTGACACAGCAAATAGTGACAGATAAAGGAAGGTGACCAGGTCCCCCAACTACGGGGACACGTCTTTGTACGATGCTCATGCGCGAACAGTTAGTGGCCAGAGGAGTAAGGCGTGACAGGATTTTCAGATGACAAAAACATTTTGCAGCAGGAGAGGTTCAAAGACAGATGATTTGGAGATTATCCTTCAATTAATTAAAAAAAAAAAAAAAGCCAAGTCCCCAGAAGCTGCCATTCCCTAAATATCCCGAGGCACCTGGATCTCTTGGTGAATAAGGCTTGGATCAGATGGTCTCCAGCACAGTGGTTAAAAAGCTGGGTTTGAAGCTTGACTTTGCCACTTCCTGGCTGGTTGCCTTTGGGAAAGCTACTTGATCTCCTTCAACCTCTGTTCTGTTTTGTTTTTCCATTAAAAAAAATTAAGGTTTAATTTGCGTGGAGTAATCTTCACCCCTTTTAGTGTACAGTTCTGCAATTTTTACTAACATATGCGATGGTGGAACCACCACCACGATCAAGAAACCACGTAAAGAACATTTCCAAAGCCCTCCAAAAATTCACCTGTGCCCCTCTGTACTCAATCCCTGCTACCCCCCAGCCCCCACCCCTGTAGCCGCGGATCTGTTTTCTGTCCCTGTGGTTTTTTCCTTCATGAGAATGTCACACAGATGGAGTACACAGTATGTGACCACTTGATTCCAGTTTTCTTTCATTGGCAAAATGCATTTGAGACTCATCCATGTTTTTCCTGGAGGAATTTTTATTGCTGAGTAATATTCTGTGGCATTGAAGAACTAGCTTGTTTATCCGTTCCTCAGTTGAAGGGCATTTGAGTTGTTTCCAGTTTTGGGTGATTGTGAATAAAGCTGCTGTAAACATTTACCCGCAGGTTTCATTTCCCCAGGGTAAACACCTGGGCGTGAGCTTGCTGGGCCCTGTGGCTCGTGTATGTGTAACGTCATGGGAAACCGCCAAGTGATCTTCCACCGTGGCAATACCACTTGGCCTGCCTGCCGCGACGGACGAGAGTCCCAGTCGCTCTGCTTGCTCACTGGTGCCTAATATTATCCGTTTTTAACACGTTAGCGATTCTGGTGGGTGTGCGAACCTTGGTTTCTCGTCTGTAAAATGGAGTCTATCGCGGTTCCTCCGTGGCATTCTTGAGCACGTGAGCCGTCGTGGTCTGTGCGAAGCCCTCCGCCCAGCCCAGTGCCTGGCAGGTAAGGGGGCTGCTGGTGCATGCTGCATTATTCGTTCCTCTGTCCGAGCCCAGCATTCGTGCTCAGGAGGGATGCCGTACATGATGCTCCTCGAGGCCCCTTCCCTGCCTGAGAACATGGGTCTGCACCGGCCCAGATTGCTGCAGGGCTCTTTGAAGAGACCACTTTGTGTCTCTTTTAAAACCAGGCTCTGTTTTGTCTCCCTGGCTCTCCGCAAAGGGCCCGAGCAGCCGCTGCCGGCGGCAGGCCAGGCCGGTCCCCAGGCGCTCTGAGGCCAGGTTTCGGTGAGCAGGCCGCCTGGGCAACCGTCCTGCCCCCGCCTGAGGTCTGGGGGTTTTTCTTGGCCTGCTCCCACCCCTGCTGCCGGCCACTGCTTGCCTGCTTGCCCTGCCAGTGCTGAGCTCCCGGCCCGAGGCACGGGCCGCTACACGCGCGGCTCCCTATTAAATATGGATTAACAAAAAAATAAAATAAAAATAAAAATAAGAAGCAAAACGGGTCCATGAATCTGTCTCTGGGGGATTTGGCCTTGGCGGTATCATGGAGGGAAACAAACCGTACAACCACTCCTTTCACAGCGTGGCTGAGCCCTTGGCCTAATCCCCGTGGTCATCACGGAGGCCAGAGGTGGGGGCATTCGGTCCCCTGCCTGACAGCAACCCCATAGAGCAGTGTTCATGTGCCAGGCAGCCCTGATTTCCAGCAGCAGCCCAAGTTCCTGGGGCTTTGGGCAATCTGGCAGCAGGCCTAGAGATGTGACACAATGGGCTTAAGTAATCCAGACAGCGAACCTAAAGAAATGTGGGGCAGACCCAGAGACATCAGGAGTTCAGCCCAGGCATTGGGCAATGTGTCTAAATCACACAAATGGCTTGTAGATAATGGGTGACAGGCCCAGAGACATCTGACAGTGGGCCTAAAGAAACCAGGCACCGAGCTCAGAGAATTCGAGTGTCAGGAACAAGAAATACAGGGGACAAGTCCAAAGTGGGGTCACCCCTCTAGGCAAACACAGATGTAGTTGTGGGTGTCCTACTTTGGGGAGCAGAGCACCCCTGTGGCTGGACATTCTTGAGCAGGACACATCTTGGACAACCCACATGGCGACCCTGGGTCCAAGGCCGCTGTGTGCCCCTAACACTCCTCTGGGTTTCTTTCCAAGTGGCTTTTCATGGCCTTCAGCTGTGCCCCACCTATGAGTTAAGCTCTAAGCAGCCCCTCCTGGATCACTGGGATTGTCTTCAGAGACCACGGCTCCACTGTCTCTGGGGAGGGGGGGTGTGGGGGGAGAAAGAAAGGCCTACCAAGAAGAGAGCTTGAGCTCTGAGCCAAAGCAAAGCCCAGTGTTGGAGAGCCCTCGGTGCGGGGAGGGAGAGGCGGAGCCTGAAGTCATGTTGGCACGGGGAGGGCTGTCAGCAAGAGATTGCCACCTCCAGCCTCCTCATTTGTCCAAGGTGGAAAGGGGAACTGGAGGGGCAAGGACCTGGCAAGGGCCACGGAGTCATTTAGTGCCAGATGCTCGAGGAGACAGGGAGGAGCTGCTATGGGGTGGATGTGGCACGGTGGAAAACAGCTGATCCGAGGGGCAGGGAGTTAGCTTTATAGGGTTCAGGAGGACCTGGGGGGGATCTAGGAAGGTGCTGAGTAGGTAGCAGCAAAGCAGAGTTACAAAAGGAAGACAACGTGCACCTCCCTTCTTTTGGCATCTGGGTCCCACACTGCCTTGGTTTTCCTCCTACCTCTCTCGCCATTCCTTCTTGGT